GCCTTGAAAACTCTTATCAAAAGGATTACAGCTCAGACATTCAGAGACAGTGACTCAGCACCTGATCATACCTAAAATCATGTCATAGTCAAACATTAAAGCTGGCTCGGCTGTCATTAGTAAAATAGCTCACTGTGAACAGAGAACAATAACAATTAGTACACAGAATTCCACAAGACTAAGGCTCTAGATGAGAAATATAGATTTGACGTGCATTTGAAAAATCTCCTAACAATTGGAAAACCCATCTTTGATCTAGAAAAGCAGAATGAATGCAGACTGTAAGATATTGTAGCTGGCATCAGCTTATTACAACCTACATAGGCGTCCGCAGGAATTTTTCCGGGGGGGGGGGGGCATAATTGTAATGACATCCATGCTTGGTCCCTTTTTGACTGTGTCATGAAAGGGAAGGGGCATAGTCATTATCACATAAAGCCAGGGTGAACAGCGTTTTCACAACTATGGTGTCAGGAATACATGTTTGTATTCCTTACACTATAGTGCTCCTTTACATAGTTACATAGCTGAAAAGAGACTTGCGTCCATCAAGTTCAGCCTTCCTCACATTTGTTTTTTGCTGTTGATCAAATTAAAGGAACATTCTGGTCACCATAACAACTTCATCTAAATGAAAATGCAATGATGCAAGGAGGCCCCTGGGCGCTCACTTTCCTTTAAGGGGTGAAACCGCTCTCAAATGGTTTAACCCCAAAGGCTTCTTCCAGCTCCAGAGTTCCAGGTCGCTCAGTGGTATTCGGCTTCTGAAACAGAGTGTCAGGAAATGCAGATTAACGTCAGGCATGTGTGCCGCTGATTGACTAGAGTGGTCAGCTGACACTCTAAGCCAATCGCTGGTTCCCGGTTTATAAAAATGTTTTACGTTTTTATGAATGGGGAGCTACAGATTGGCTTAGAATGCCAGCTAACCGTTCTAGGCAATTCCTTCCTCTCCCCCCATCCCTCACTTACCTGATCTGTAGGCTGCCACCCCATCCCTCACTTGCATGATCTGTAGACTGCCCCCCATCCCTCACTTATCTGATCTGTAGGCTGCCACCCCATCCCTCACATACCCGATCTGTAGTCTGCCCCCCCCCCATCCCTCACTTACCTCATCTGTAAGCTGCCTCTGCAGGCTAGGGGTTGCCGGCTGCATACTCCCCTGCGGATTCAGTCAGGAGAGAGAAGCAGGGATAAGCTGCAGCTTCCTGCCTTTCTCCATTCTCTGGTATTGAAGCTGAAAAACCCGGGGGGGGGGGGGCAAGTGCCCCCCTTGCCCACCCCTGCGGACACCCATGACAGCCTATCAAAGAAAAGAGGAGACTCACCAACATACTTCCTTAATTAATGCTCCAAATGTAAACAATTATTGGAAAGCACATCGAGTCAGGTTTCTCTTTGTGAGGTCTTCATTTAACAAGCAAAGCTGCAATAGTAATAACGAGCCTAAACCTTGCTTGAAACTGTGCTACATCACACCGGTGGTTGGATTATTTTTGTAATCAAAAGATTTAAGATTATTCGCTAGATTGTCTTTGGATCAAAATGTTCGAGAGTAGAATTCTCTATGGAGACTATAAGAGCAGACACTGTAACACAATGAACATGCTTACACCTGTTGTTAAACCTGTTGCAAGTTTGCCAGTTTAATTGGTAGCGATAAATCTCAAATCAAAGGAACACTCACTATTTCACAGAAATAATCTAATGCGCATAGAAAAGAATATGTATATAGTATAAATGATGAAGGGGATAGTAAGGCAATATGCAGTATTGATTTTCTAAAAATTCATAAAACTGCATTTTCCCATAATTTACAGGTGATTTTTCATAATGCACAGGGAGGGGACAGGAAGTATGTTAATCGGAGAAAGGCTTGCTGTCTAGTTAAACCAAGAACATGTGTGAGGAATAATCTGTCCAGGCTTGAATTAATGTCCCGTCAAGCTCATTGTTGACCTGGCATGCTCTGAAATCTGGTTTTCCAAGGTTCCTATCTGGAAGATAAATATTCAAGACATTCCTAGGAACGGCTTAGTTTCTTGTTCAGTTAATTTTTTGAAAGGAGGTTGTTATAATGCTAACACAAACCTGTTTTCAAAATCAATGACTGAAGAATCATAGACCAAATTTCTTTAGGAACACAAGGGAGAGAAGGGGCAGCAATATTCACCAATGGCGACTATTATTTCTTTTTTTTTTTTTTTAAATATCATTTTTATTGTGTTTTCAAGAAGTAAAATCAATGCAAGGGGTACAGAAGAGACAAGGGACTTAAGAAAAATATAACATAGTGGGAATTCCGTTGAATTATACATAATGATTAAATCAGATCTTTTTCATATATGTAGTCCTGTCTTATGTTGACAAATTATAATGGTGGGAGGGGGTATGGGAGGGTGAAGCTGGGAGAGGGGAAGCGGGTGGAGGGGTGGTGGTTGGGGGACGGGGTATCCTGTCGCTACCTTCCTGTATAGAGGTTTAGAGTTTAGAGTTTTCCAGCTATTGCTGTAAGGGGTTTCCGATTTCCGTATGTGACTAATTTAAGTGTTCTCGCTACGGGTGGTCATGGGTGTGATTCCTGTGGGAGGGGACTCCCAATAGGTGAGCCAGGGTTCCCGGGTTTTGAGGTATTTAGCTCTCTTGCCCTGTGTGGTCCAGTGGATTTCCTCTAGTTCTCTAGTCCTTTCTACCCGTTGGACCCATTGTTCTCTAGAGGGTGTTTGTGTTTGTCGCCAGAGCATGGGTATCAGAGCATTGGCCTCTCCTATGAGAATGTTCATAAGTTGCTGTTTATACGGGTCTATCAGAGCCCGTGGCCACCCTAGTAATACTTGGGAGGGAGATATGTGTGCCCTCATGGATAGGAGTTTCTTAATGTCTGTGAGTATCGTGTTCCAGAAGGGGGCTATGTTCCTGCAACCCCACCAGATGTGTTCCATGTTACCCTCTGCTGCCTCGCACCTCCAGCACTGGTTGCTAACTGTGGGCCAGTAGGTGTGGAGTAGGGCTGGTGTTCTTTACCATCTGGTGACTCTTTTGTAAAATGTTTTTTTGCGGGCTATGCTCAGTGGGGCTTTCATCCCTGAGTTCATGATGTGTGCCCAGTCGCAAGTTGTCATGTGTATGTGGAGTTCCCTCATCCATTTTCGTTGGTATGGGGGTCTGGGTGCGTCTCCAGTATCCATTTGGAGGAGACGGTAGATGGTTTTGTTTTACTGCCCTGGGAGCATAGGGATTCAAATGGCGTCTTTTCCCTTTTTCTCCATAATGGGAGGACCGATTAGGTCAGGAAATGGGTTAACTGGGCTCTGGCCATATTATCTAGTAGTGTTCCTCGGCCTCCTGGTTTTGGGAATGTCTTTATTTTAGGTGGATCGTCTACTGATAGGACTGCCGTTACCTCTGGACAAGCCTCCCCAGTGACTCGAGTTACAGTAGCGCTTCCATGTCCGTTTTGGAAGTCTGGGTTGTTAGCCAGAGGGACAAATGGGGACAATCCGGGGGATAGTCCCCAGTCCTCTCTATGTCTCCTCCAAGTCCGGAGTGTGTTGTGGATAATGGGGTGGTGTGTTGGGGAGAGTTTTGTGAGTTGGCATGTCTGCCAAGGGAGCGTATGGAGAGGTACTGTCGCAAAGCTCTGTTCAAGTTTGTACCAGGCTTTTGTTGTTTCAACATTGTTCCATTCCCTGACTCGCGTGAGTAGGACTGCTACATAATATTTGTAAAGATGGGGCAAGCCCACACCCCCCCCCCGGTGGAGATGTTATTGTAGAGTATGCCAACCTCGCAGGCTTGTTTCCCCATGTGAATTTTATGAGGATGGATCTCATGCGTCGGAAGAATTCACCCTGGAGAGGCATCGGCAGGGTCTGAAACAGGTATAGAACTTTTGGTAGGGTCATCTTTTTTATTATGTTGACCCGATCTATTAATGAAAATTGGGGTGAGTCCCATTTTTTGAGGTCTCGGTCTATAGCGTCTATAAGGGTCGGGAAGTTCTGTGCGTAAGGGTCCTTGAGTGATGGAGTTAGACAAATTCCTAGATATGTCAGACTTTTCCGAGCCCAGACGAAGTTGTGGGATTCCCTAATCTGGGTCTGTAAGGCTGATGGTATGGAGATTCCTAGTATCTCGCATTTTTCTGTGTTGATTTTGAAATTTGATAGTGTGCCAAATTTCTTTATTTCTGTTTGTACCTGGGTCAGTGTGTGGAGCGGGTCCGTGACGGAGAAGAGTACGTCATCTGCGAATGCAGAGACCTTCACCTCTCCCCCCGGATAGCAATATCCCTTGATTTGGGGATTATTTCTGACTGCTGTCAGAAATGGCTCTATCGCCAAGACGAACAGGAGAGGGGATAGTGGGCATCCCTGGTGGGTGCCGTTTCCTATTTGGAAGGGTGTGGAGTGTTGTCCATTTACCCTTACAGTGGCTGTAGGTCCTATGTATAGTGTATGTATCCAGTTTCTTAATTTGGGGCTTAATCCTAGATTTTCTAATACTCCAAATAGATACTTCCAGTCAACCCTGTCGAAAGCTTTTTCAGCGTCTATGCCTAGTAGTGTTGTAGGGGTGTTATTAGTGTTGGCTCCATGTATGATTATTATTCTAGAGATGTTGTCCCTGGCCTCCCGTCCTGGCACAAAACCTGCCTGGTCGGGGTGTATCAATTCCAGCAGTAAGGGTTTAATACGGTTAGCATCAGTTTGGCTATCAGTTTAAGGTCTAGATTGATAAGGGAGATGGGTCTATAGCTGCCACAAGCTTCAGGGTTCTTCCCAGGTTTGGGAATAATGGTGATAGATGCGCGTAGCATCAGGGCAGGGAGAGAGGTGCCCGGTTCAGTCCGTTTAGCATCTTAAGAAAGTGTGGTCCCAGGTCTTCCGTCAGAGTCTGATAATATCTAGCTGTTAGGCCATCTGGGCCGGGGCTTTTGCCCTTCGGCATCGTTTTAATCGCTGAAGAGAATTCCTTATGGGAGAAGGGCTCATCGATCACCTGGGCTGTTTCTGTCGGACCCTGTGTAGTATATTGGCCCGCAAGTAGTCATGTAAGTCCAAAGGGGTGCCTTCGGGAGGTGTAAGGTTATAGAGATTGTGATAGAATTCGCTAAATGCGTCCGCTATGTCATCAGTGGTGTTACATTGTTTCCCCTGGCTATTTTTGATGTGGGTTATAAAGGATTTTTGGAGCTTGGTCTTCAGTGCCCGTGCTAGTAATTTCCCACTTTTATTTCCCTGTGCATAGAAAGAGCCTCTCGTTAACTGGACAGCCCTATGTGCTTTGAGGGACAAGAGGGATCGGAGTTCCATTCTGAGTCGTGTTAGTTTGTGGAATATCTCCGGCGTGGGGGTCTGTTTGTGTAGTGTTTCTTGTTCCTGTATGGCTATTGTCAGGGCTGTCTGCTTTTGTGCTCGTTCTTTCTTGATCCTAGATCCCCATTTAATCAAGATACCCCTAATTACCCCTTTGTGTGCCTCCCACACCCATGCGTCTGTTACCTCTGTAGTTGTGTTTTCTAAGAAGTAATTGCGGAGTGTTGTCTGTATGTCCTCGATTACTCTTAGGTCATCTAGGAGGGTCTCATTAAGTCGCCATTGTGTGCTATGTGTAGGGGCGTTTTGTAATGTTAGAGTCAGAAAGATCGGGGCATGCTCCGACCATGTGATATTGCCTATGCTTGCGTCTTTTAGCGTGGAGAGATATCTGTGGCTTAGGTGGTGTAGGTGTAGTCCCTGTCTTGTGGGTGGGTTATGCGCCAGCAATCCATTAGTTGGTGTGCAAATAGAGCGTTCGCCAGTAGGGTGCGTTGGTGTCGCCTTTTGTCCATGGTGTGGGTGGTGCTGTCTATCGAATGGTCTAATACCATGTTCCAGTCCCCCCCTATGATCACCATTCCTTCTGCGAAGGCCTCTAGTTTGTTTAAGCATGATCGGGCGAATGAGCCCTGATCTGTATTTGGTGCATATATATTGGCCAATGTTACCTGCGTGCCTAGGCATTTCCCTTTGACAAACAGGAATCTCCCTCCTGGGTCTGCCTTCACAGTGGTGTCTGTGAGGGCCGCTCGTGTGTTCACTAAAATCGCTACCCCTCTAGATTTGCTTTTCCTATAGTTGCTATGGTAGGATTGTTGGAGGTGTTTAGCTCTGATTCTAGGCTGTGCCTCCCCCCTGAAGTGCGTTTCTTGAATGAATGTGATGTCTGCCCTCTGTCTGTCAATCTCCTGGGCCAGCATGCTGTGTTTTTCAGGGGTGTTAAGTCCCCTCACATTTAGGGACATTAGGTTAATTTGCGCCATCGTAGCGAGTTAGTCGGTCGTGCCGCTTCATACGGAAGTGGAGCCACATGGCTAGGTGTGCAACAGCTGGAGGGTGGGGGGTGGGTACGGGGAAACAGAAACTATATACACAGAAGCAAGGTAAAGTTAACATATTTACAAGGAGTTGGCGCTGCACTTCTGGGAGACTGAGTCGTGTCCCCAAGTTAGTGTTTAAGTGCTTCTCTGTGGAGGGGTGGAGTTCTGTCTGTCGGGACAGGTCCTGCTTAGGAGGAAGGAGTGGGCTTCTGGGACTTATTGAGAATGAACTGTATGGTCCCCATGAGGGGCCTCTGTCTATGTCCCTTTAAATGTACCCGGTTCCGGGCTCCCCCGGGGCCCCCTAGTGTAACATAAGTTTATGCTTTTGGCTCATGGGGCCTTAGTGGTCAGGGTAGTATAAATCAGTGGAAGTCATTGGCGGCAGTGATATTATAAATAATTATATCTATGCGTAACAGAATTAGTTAAAACAATGTAAAGCATATACAGTTTTAGTATTTGAGAGATTAGAGTAAAGGATATACAAGGACGTCAGCAGTAGTCCTCAGGCCTCTTTATCTCTGGTCTCGCTGGGGGTCTCGATCCCAGCCTGGGGTTGCCGCCTTCGCTTTCTTGGTGTTCTCTGCCATGTGGGTTTTTGCTGAAGCAGTGTGGGCTTGCAGTTAGAGAGGCCAGTCCAATCTTCAGTTACGACTTGGGGTAGGCCCAATGCCTGTTGAAATTCAGGGATGTCCGTCGGTGTAGATATAGTATGGGTTCCGTTTTGGGTCGATACTGTTAAGGTGAATGGGAAGTTCCACCTGAATTTGATCTGTTTTTCAAGTAGGGCTGATGTGATCGGCTTAAGAGCCCGTCTGGCTTGTAGCGTGGATGGAGAGAGGTCTTGGAAGATGGCCACTGGGTGCCCCTCGTATTTTAAGGCCATGTTTTGTCGGGCTTTATGGAATATCTCCTCTTTCAGAGGGAAGTTATGGATGCGGCATATAAGGTCACGGGGCATGTCCATTGGCAATTTTCTGGGCCGTGCTGCCCTATGGGCCCTGTCGAATTGTATTGCCGTGTCAGTTGGTCTAGTGAGGACCTGATTAAAGAGGGCAGTCAGTACCTTGATGGGGTTTTCGGTGGTGCCTTCTGGGCACTCTGGGATTCCCCTCACCTGCAGGTTGTTCCGCCTTCCCATGTTGTCTAGATCGTCCAATTTTCTTTGGACTTAGACTATGGCATCCATATGTCGGATTTGTGTGGCTTGAGATCATTTGTTTCCTCAACGTCCTCCAGATTTTACACTCTGGTGCCTAGGTGCTGGACGTCTGTAGTAATTGCCTGCAGTTTCTCACCAAAGGAGTTTTCCAGTTTCTGGAACATTTCTGTGAGGTCTTTCTTCGAGGGCAGTTGTGTAAGTATTGCCCTGATGTCGGCTTCGTCCCCTGAGCCCTCAGATGGAGCTGGGCTGGGTGGCTGTCTGCCGCGTGTGAGGGCCGCAGGTGCCATTTTGTTTGTTTGGTGGGTATCCGCTTGTTCTGTAAAGAACCTCCACAGAGAGGACTTTGCAGGTGGAATTTCTGTCGTTGGGGTACTCCCCGCTGTGTTACGCAGTTTTTTTATCGCCATTGCCGCTTTTTATGACCGGGGGCTGCTTATTTTCTCCTGTCCGGCACGGAGCTCCGCTACTCTGCTGCCAGTCTCGTCGGAGTCTTGGCCACGCCCTCCGCGACTATTATTTCTAAGCACAAAATCTATCAGAGTAATGTTACGTATACGTAAAGGGTCACTATAGTGTCAGGAACACAAACATGTATTCCTGACACCACAGTTCTAAAACCACCATTTAGGTGGCTGGCCCCACTTACCTTTGGTAAAAAATGTGATTTACTCAACTTTTTCCAGCGCAGCGCAGGGCTCCTCGTGCCTGGCTCCACCCCCCATCCGCCTCCTTGGCTGACATCATCAGAATTGATGATCTCAGGCAATCATAATGCTTTCCCATAGGTAAGCATTGGATTGGCTGAGATCCTCAATTCTGATGATTTCTGCTAAGGAGACAGGTCGGGGCAGAGCCAAGTGCCGCCCTAGTCAAATCTCCTCATAAAATCTCTGCCAAGGAGGCAGGTCGGGGCGAAGCCAAATACCATCATGGCTAATCAGAATCTTCTCATAGAGATCCATTGAATCAATGCATCTCTATGGGGAAAGTTCAGTGTCTACATGTACACTGTGCAGCACTGACCCAGTAAGCACCTCTAGTGGTTGTCTGAGGAGTGGCCACTAGAGGTGTTCCTAGGCCTTAATGTAAACACTGTCTTCTCTGTGAAATATAAAAATATTAACATAACTTCCCTTTTCACTTTAGATACCATGAACACCTGCTTGCTGGGTTTGATACAGTTTGGCCGTTTTTATGTGATGGGATAGTCTGCTGTATGATTTGTAAGGTGATACGGTTAGCACTGATGTACACAGCACAGTCATACCAGTAAGAAGCAGGTCAGACACAATGAATGTGTCTTCTGTCATTCAGTAGGCGCTGGAAGGCATGCAGCTGTCAGACACAAAGAACTCACAGAATACCTTCTCTCTTTTGACCCCATACATAGGAGTATAAACCTATGCTTGTCCCCTCACATGAGACAGACATCACTTCTGTCTTCTCTTAAGGAAAAAATCAATAAAGGTCCTCATCTTTTAAAGATTATTACGCATGTAAGGAAAATACAGGAAACTTTGCTTAAATTTTTTTTTAACTCTGTGGACTACAAGTGCCATCATGAATAACTAGCCATGTCTACATTAGTCGGTTAAATGAACCCTGCCGTGCATAATGTGATATGTTCCCACTTCAATTCTGAGTATGTTTATTATCTATAAATTGCAATACTAAAACTCTGGTGTAACAAACAATTTACCTGATAAATACTTTTTCATGGTTGGCAGATTAACAGATATTATAAACCCACCTATATAAATATATGTAAATGACTCCAGGACATTTTTTTAGTCACTACAACACACAAGGATGCATGTTTCATGCGTCCAAAATATCATTCAGTGTCAGCCATACTGGACCTTTCCATTCATACATGACAGAGTTCTTCTAACAACCGCCAGTTGTGTGTCTAGAAAGTTTGTTTGAACCGGACACCTTTAAAGGGATAGTGAGCAACCTGTATAGTAATGAACATTGAAATGTTGCAAACATGTCTGCCTGTCAAGTTTTAAAGTCATTTGTTCCCTGGGAGATAGAAACAGGGACATACATGTAGGACTGGAATACTGGTCATTCCAATGCTATGAGCAGAATGTTCTAAACACATTACGAAATACCGTGCCATGTTTACCTCACCCAGCACTTAGTGAGATAGCTGTTTGCTGTAATAAAAGGAATGATGGGACATATCAGTAACACAAGTCAGGTTATGTCCAGTGTCAATAACTAGTGGTGACTCAAAGGTGCATTGACACCTAAGTTAAAATGATGTAAGCACACTAATATTTCCCTGTCTAGTTAGTTAAAATCATTATAACACAAAGCTTTAAAGGTTGTTTTTTAACCAGACTTCCAGGGGAATGGTACTTTAGGAGAATTGCTAAAATGCATGCAGTGGTAATGCTACAGTCTATTATTATTAAAGGACATATAGTTGTTTAAAGTAATATGAATATTGAGAGGCGAATATAAGCAAAGTGCAGTACTCTAGTGCAGTGTGAACCCAGTGGAACTCTGTTCATGTACTACGTTTGCAGAGTGAAATGAGTTTCCGCCTTTCTTCCTTTAATGAGGAACACTGCAAACAGTATAGGAGCACGGTGCATTTTAAAATTGCAAAGAGGCAAATGAGGAAGGGGTTCTATTTTAATGCTGATTGCTCGGAGTATAATCCTATGCTTGTCCCCTCACATGACATAGACATCATTTTGGCTTGCTGCCTGTGGTGGGATGACACATTAACAGGCATCCTCAGCTTCCAGTAAGCAAGGCGTGATTAAAATGACTATGTATGGTTTATATGTGTAATGCTGCATAAATGGCTATATTGATAGCTAGACAGTAGTTATGCAAGGTCTATGGAGTCAGCATAAAGGTGGCATTGGAAAGAAGGTATATAGTTGCTTCACAGCAGAATTACCAATTCAATTTTTTATTTATTAAGGGTTGCCAAGTGTTTTACAAGAACAGCTGGTATTTTAGGCTGTCTGGCTAGTGACAGCAAAATACTGGCAATGCAAAGGCCAGTATTTTTCTCTGGAGAATGGTTAGAGAAATGGAGCCAGAATATTATTATTATTATTATTATTTTATTATTTATATAGCGCCAACAAATTCCGTAGCGCTGTACAATGGGTGGACTAACAGACACATAATTGAGATCAGACCACTGACGTACAGGAACAGAGGGGGTTGAGGGCCCTGCTCGATGAGCTTACATGCTAGAGGGAATATCAACCTCTATTATATATGGCAGGTACACATGTTGCTGTACACACACAAGGACACACACACAGACACAGTAGACATACAAGGACAAACTCTGCCGCACACTCTCACAGTATACACACATTGCTACACAAATACAATACAAATACAGACATAGTACACACATTGTTTCATAGTTAATTAGTGATTTAGGAAATTTTCCCCTTCCAAAAATTTTTTTTTTCTTTCTCTTGTGTCACTCCCTGGGATGTTGCCTAACATCACGTGACATCTCCTGTGATGTCATGCAAATATAATTAAGTATGCAAATTAGCATGGCCAGTATTTATTTCCAGAAAATGTGGCAACCATAAAATTATCTCAATATATTAATTGCTTAAAGGACCACTATAATGCCAGGAAAACATACTCGTTTTCCAGGCACTATAGTGCCCTGAGGGTGCCCCCCACCCTCAGGGTCCCCCTCCCGCCGGGCTGAATGGCGAGGAAGGGGTTAAAACTTACATTTTCTCCAGCGCCGGGCGGGGAGCTCTCCTCCTCCTCTCCG